ACGTGTCATGGAGGAAAGATGCCCTCGGTCACGTGTCATGGAGGAAAGATGCCCTCGGTCACGTGTCATGGAGGAAAGATGCCCTCGGTGACGTGTCATGGAGGAAAGATGCCCTCGGTGACGTGTCATGGAGGAAAGATGCCCTCGGTGACGTGTCATGGAGGAAAGATGCCCTCGGTGACGTGTCATGGAGGAAAGATGCCCTCGGTGACTTGTCATGGAGGAAAGATGCCCTCGGTGACGTGTCATGGATGAAAGATGCCCTCGGTCACGTGTCATGGAGGAAAGATGCCCTCGGTGACGTGTCATGGAGGAAAGATGCCCTCGGTCACGTGTCATGGAGGAAAGATGCCCTCGGTCACGTGTCATCACGATACATGGTCTGCAAGGTGAGTTACCGGTAACTTTATTAAAAGAAAACACTAAATTTCATTTTAATTGTACATTTACATTATTTTGAATGTGGTTAAGGTTACTACACATCAGTAGTTTTAAGGAAATGAAAATAAAAAGTTAGTTGCTTTACAGAGTTAGCTGTGTTATTTATTACACATTCAATCTTTTACATGCAGATCCAGCCATTACAGAATAAAAGGGTGCTCAAGGACAGAAATATTTGCCCTCTGATTTGAATGTAAATAAGAAGCATTAACTTTTCCTGGAACAAAACCAATCTGTTATTGAAGATGATGCACACTCTGAATCAGACACTTCATTATTTTCTATTTTGTCGTTGATCTAAATTCAAATAAAATATTTTGTGAATTGAACATTATCTTGTTTAATTTTGTTTTGAATTCAGATAAGAAATTATGCTAACATATATCACTATAAACATTACACTATTACAAGCGACTTCCCAGCATTTATAATACTTTTCTGTTAAAATATAGTGGTTTGTTATCTATAAACAACTTGAATTATTTGCTACTTGGAATAATGTTATGCTATCAAAATGGATATACAGCATTTAGTCACTAAGTTACAGCTGGGTACACAGCATTTTGAAACGAAATAAGAAATTCCAACAAGTAAATAAATACATTTTAATTAACCTACATTTTTATTTTCATCATAATCTAACTTATATTTTGAATATATACCTAGATTAACATTTACTTTTCCGAAATTTTGAGCCATCATTGTGTAGCAGAAAAAGAACTGCTTAAAGTAAAGTATCTATATAATTAACACAAGGTCACGTGACAACTAAACTAGGTCACTGTCCGATTATTTGAAGAATGGTGTCAGAAGGCTGTTCATTATAAACAAAATGTTTACCGTAAAGCTGCTGTAGTTTCTTTATGTCACCGATGTTGAGTTGAGGGTCAGGGTTGTAGTCCAGGTACACGGGATACATGATGTCATTTTTCTAAAAAGATGTATATGAACAAAAGAAAATCAAATGTTTATTTATTTATTTATTTATTTAGGCATTTTTATATAGCGCTTATCATAAAGCTCTAAGCGCTTTACAGTTATTAAAACATGTAAACTAAGTAAATACAAATGAGACACTAGGATAGTAACTACTATTCTATAGAAACAATGAAAATGGCTATAAAAAGAGGACACTTTGACACTTCAGGATTAAACCGAAACAGAAAATTAGGTAGGGCAAGGAGGGTGCATCACAGGTCATAGGCGGACCTAAACAGATGAGTTTTAAGGGACTTTTTGAAAATGGACGAGGTTTCACTATGACGTATATGGAAGGGGAGCTGGTTCCAGAACGTGGGCCCATGGAAGCAGAAGGAGCGTTCACCGATGGTCAATATTCAATATTTTTTTTACAAATAAAAAAAAGAAAAGAGAAATGGATTATTTTAAAATATAGAATCTGCTTCATTTCCCTAATATTATCTAAATCTAAATTTATCTAAAGGGTCATTCAACCCTATGAACATATGTCATTGTTCATATTCATATGAACAATTTTAAGTCTCTTTTCCCCAATGATGTCTTTCTAAATATGAACTATTCTTTACGGGATATTATTCTACGAAAAATGGGTAACATTACCCCCAATGTTCCCTTTAAGCTGCGTGGCTGCGCGACCGTGCAGCTATCTCACAGACGCCGCTCAGGAGTTTTGAGTATCCGCGTAGCAAATTTCCATGTAAGTGCGTGTTTGTGTTTGTGGGCTGTAAAATTTTGCACACAAAAAAATTGATACTATAAAAATTTGCACACAACTGTACGATTTTGCACACGAACCAACAAATCTTAGAGGGAACATTGTTTACATCCATATCATTGCTCTAAGCCTTACAAAGGGCGAAGATTGAAAACGTTTCATCAAAGTGAACTTCGATCACGGGTTAAGCAAATAGAGGGCAACTCTTTTACCCAGTGTCATGCGAGAAGGATGGCAGAGGGAGCATCCTCCATGGGAACAACCTCCAGAGTGGGCCAAAATCGTCATTTACATTGCAAAATATGTATATGAATATAGATATATATATCAGTCAGCCTCGTCGAACTCCTTTGAAATAACCTTTCTTCTCACTTCACTTGTTTCGCCACCATTTCTTGTAAGGTACTTTATTAAGTTTGTCAAATCCAAATTTTACCAAGCAATTTATTTTTGTACATCTCTGAAAATGTTCTCTGGTCTTCCTGTTTCATTGAATATTATGCAGAGTAGATATCGATTTTCTGATTTCTGCTGAAACCGACTCTAACCCGAAAGTAAACAGTGACATTCCGTTGAAACCGAAGCCGAAAGCTGAAGCTTAACAAAACTTTTGGCTGAAACGGCAAGATTTCGTTATTTCGAAACTCGTTCGCGCATGCGTTCTGCGTACGTCGTAAAATTGTGGGGAAAGTATCGATATTTATATTCTTTTTTTTTTTAATTATAAAAAATGAAGTTATCGTGAATTTTAATAGATACACATCTAGTAAATATTTTAACTTTCATCGTTTGAATTGAAAAGTAATTTAAATTTTTTTAAGAATATATTTTATAGTCGCATAGTAGGAGAAATTTTATGAGGGATTTGGGAGGGGGCGAAATTCATAAAAAAATTGACCATTGGACGTCCTTTGCTTTTATTGGTATGGCCAAATAAAATGTCCAGACATAAGCCTTAAGGAACTTTCTTTTTTTTTCGCTAACCCAAACATGTTCGTTGAGACACGCGTTCCTATTGGTCAACGTTGAAATTGTTCATTCATCCGCAGTTATTTGCATCCAATAATCTTTTAAAACGTCTTTTCAAAAAATAATTTGTTAATGTTCAAATTTTTCAAAGTACATTTTCCAACAATCTTACCGGTGACACTCCAACCCGAGTAAAATTCACATTCAAACGAAAATTGATTCTATTGAAATACAAATTATCATTAAAAAAATAATGATGGAAATTTAAGGATTTTTTATTTCACAATACTATTCACCTTTGCCCGTGACAACATTGATGAGCACGATACTGATGAATCAAAATGAATCTCACAAATGAATAAATTGAATAAACCAAAGTTGACTTATTTTATTTTTTTTTTGTAAATGAGAATAGAATTATGAACATTCCCTTGGGTTTTTTAAGTCCACAAAACTGTTTACCTTTACCTGAGCGCAATTGAAATGTTATTTTTGGAAATATTGGACAAGTTGGTCTTTATACAGCTGTGGGCAGTGTTCGCGGAGGATTAGTCAAACATCATATGATTACAGCGATAATGAATATTGGATTGCCGACCAAAAAAGTGACAGTCTGACTTTTGGTAGACGACAGAAAGCATTAATCCTTTTCACCCGAAACCGAAAATAAACCGAAAGTTAACTTATCTGTTACGGTCGAAACCGAAACTACGACAAAAAAAAAAGATCAAATGGCAAATTATGTCGATGCCTTAGCCGAAACCGAGTTTGGTCCGCCTTTAATGCAGGCATGCTAAATTTTTTCTGTGACGTCAAAAATCACCACGACCACGTGGTCCGGATAAACTGAGTTCGTGGGCCTGATGTGGCCCGTGGGCCGGGGTTTGCCGACCCCTGAGATGAGCTATAATAATTAAAAGGACAACACGTGTATTGTTTGCACGTACGTTTTTGGAATGCTGCAGCCCCAGGGAGTGCCCAGCCTCGTGCATGGCGATCATCATCAGGTCCCGCGTGTCCGATTTGTTGACCCCGGATGACCACAGCTCGTCCATGTCAAAATGGATGTCACCTGACATGCTGACGTTCCCCGGGGGGTAGGCGTGGGCTAGCAGCATACCTGAAACACCCAATGACCCGTTCTTAGGCATGAAAATACAGGACATACTTTCGCTGGTATTAAACCCAGAATGTTTAATTGGTTCATGGTTATGGTATATATCTTAATAGACAGCCAATTCTTCCCTTGTTTCCACATCTCTGACTAGAAAGAGGTAAAGCAAAATCTATAACATCTCTCTATCTCTCTCTCTCTCTCTCTCTCTCTCTCTCACTCTCTCTCTCCTCTTTTCAAGAATAGTCCCTCACCGTATTTTCTTAAATCCATTATATTAACTTCGTTTTTGTTCCTGAATGGCAAAATATTCCGACGGCTAATTGACCCACTTCCCGTCAACCCAGAAAGCCGAAACTTGTCACATGGACTCGTTGCCGATGAAAAATCATTCTTTCAAATGTTCCTCACCACCCCCTAACCCAACCCCCCAAAAATATGTTGTTATTGTTAAATTTTTCAATGGGAAGGTCGTAGGAAATAGGATGACACTGATCTCATGAAATAAAATTCCCGATAACTGACCTAAGTGAGATTGTTTCTAAAAATAAAAGTAATATCGCAAGTGCATTTGGTGCGTATTTTTTTTTCCTGCAATAAATTTAAATATTTGGTTAAATAAATATGTTTTGTGAAAGCAGAAGCGGGTGCGGCATTCAAGTATTAATATACAATAAAATAAGTTTAAAATGTTCATAAAGGTTTTATCCGAAAAGCTTTGTTTCTAGGTGTGTTTGTTTTTTTTTAAAAATTAATCTCTAAAAGCTTATCTCCGCATGGTTACCTCCCCATGGCTACTCACCTCTCCCATCGAAAGAGTTGTAATCGCCGTCGCCATGCTCTCTTCTGGCAAAAGTGATCACTATTTCGGGAGAGTCTACTTTCGATTGGATGTGAATCTTGCTCGGCTTGGACCATCGCAGAAACGACTCTTGGAAAATAGACCTTTAAAGATTGAGCAATGAAAGATTTAAAGATTGAGCAATGAAAGATTTAAAGATTGAGCAATGCAAGATTTAAAGATTGAACAATGAAAGATTTAAAGATTAAGCCATGCAAGATTTAAAGATTTAACAATGAAAGATTTAAAGATTGAGCCATGCAAGATTTAAAGATTGAACAATGAAAGATTTAAAGATTGCACAATGAAAGATTTAAAGATTGAACAATGAAAGATTTAAAGATTGAGCATGCAAGATTTAAAGATTGAAAAATGAAAGATTTAAAGATTGAGCAATTCAAGATTTAAAGATTGAACAATGAAAGAAATAATTTTTTTTTATCTGTCGCTTTTAACAGTCGATGGATTACAAATAAATCATTTTTGAATCCCATCATTAGACTTATATAAATATATATATATATATATATATATATATATAATAGGCTATAATAACAGGTATGCTAACAGTAGATTCATTCGGGTATGCAAACATATTTACTAACGGCTATACCAACAGGTTATGCTAAAAGATATTCTAATATGTATTCATACACTGAAAGACATACCAAGAAACCAACATGTCCTGATGAACCCAGAAACATATCTACCAATAGATATACTACCAATAGATATACTAAGAGATATACAGATATACTTACAGAAATACTTGCAGATATACTTACAGATATACTAACATATACACTAACATATATACCAACAGATATACGAACAGATATACTAACATATAAACTCACAGATATACCAACAGATATACCAAGAGATATACTATGTACCGACTTACTTCTGCTTGTCGACAGATATGTGGGGGGTGTACCTCATGGTCCTGTAACCAATCTCCTTGTTGTGCCATGTGAGATCCTGGACAGTCTTCTTGCTGGACTTTGGCTTCGCTGTTGACAGTAACCCGTAACGAGCAGGCGATTATGAGATAGAAAATGGATAGAAACAAGAAGACAGATACACGATGACAGATACAAGATGACAGACAAAAGATGACAGACACAAGTTGACAGAAAAAAGACAAGTAGAGTTTTAGTAAAAATGTATAATATATATATATATATATATATATATATATATATATAGATAGATAGATAGATAGATAGATAGATAGATAGATAGATAGATAGATAGATAGATAGATAGATAGATAGATAGATAGATAGATAGATAGATAGATAGATAGATAGATAGATAGATAGATAGATAGATAGATAGATAGATAGATAGATAGATAGATAGATAGATAGATAGATAGATAGATAGATAGATTATATATATATGTAGAACTTTTTAAAAAGAATTTATATCAAAGACGAATTAAAACTCACTCAAAAGTTGTTTGAATTTTTAAAAATAGTTTTAAATGTCGGAAAATGCATTACACAAATAAAGTCTGTAGAAGAAATATTTTCAAAAATTAATACTTAAAAAATAAAACATTTAGGTTTTGTCTACATTCAATTTGAATATTTTGGCTACATAGCGTGCTCATCTACATCTCTGCTGAGAAATTCTTTGTGTTAGGCATTTTATGAAATTTTGAATGATCTTCTACTTGTCTTTGATAGAGCGTATTTTTTTTTTTAGTTTGTTAAATAATTCATGAAATAGCCAAACGAGGTTTGTGGAAGCTTGAATTAAAGGACAGGACAATAAGATTAGAATGTTTCGGCATAGAGCCTTCGTCAGCGCACAGGACAAATGAAAATATCACAAGGAACAGAGCACAGTGAACAACTCAAGAAACATCCATTATTATTATCCATGGGAGCCCAAAGTTTCCCTTGATGGGCGTCCAAGCTAGTTGACATCTCTAATTACAAGTAATAAATTAAGAGCCCTTGCCATCACTGATATTTGCGGATAGGGTAAATAGTTACACCCCCTTGTGATGGCTGTGGATAGTTCACCTCTTGTCGCCAACCTCCGCCCCCCACACCCCCCCGTGCCCCCCCCCACCACAACTATATTTGCGGATAGGGTGAATAGTTACACCCCCTTGTGATGGCTGTGGATAGTGCACCCCCTGTCGCCAACTTCAGCCCCCCACCCCCCCCCATACCCCCCCCCAAAAAAAAAACTCCGCCATTTCTCCTTCCAAATAAAGTCTCTCACCCGTGTTGGTCACATTTTTCTTTGGACTGGTCTCACTCCCGGCCCTTCTCTTGTGACGCCCGACCCTGCCGACTTTGCCTCGAGTCGCTCCAGCCAATGGCATGACGTCAGGAACACCACATCGAGGCTTTGTCATGAGCTCCCACGTGGTGCGGTCCATCTTGCCGCTGACCCTGAGCCCGGTGTGTTCTTGGTATGACCTTTGTAATCAAAACCAGTTACGCCTACATTGTTAATTTATGGCTTACACAAGGTAACAATACTATAAAAAAAGGGGGTGGGGGCGATTTCAGTTAAACTATGATTATGAATAGCTCTCGCCACTCTGTCTTCCAAAACTCCCAGTGTTAGTGCCCCATCTAAGCTTTGCCTCTCATTACTGTGTGGTTTAGTTTTTTAATGATTATCTTAATATAGATTACTCTTTTGGTGTGACTCGTAGACTACTTCCTAATGGACTGCTTCCTATTGGAATGCTTTCTATTCAACACATTTGGTATTGAGAGTGTGTAATAATAATTCTATATATTATAAAGAAAGTATTATTCAATATTGAGTTTAATAGAGAGCAAAATATAATTCCCGATAACTACGCTAAATGATATATATATATATATAATAAAGTTTAAAGTTTATTTGAAAAACACGCTTCATCCCCAAAAGCTCGAAGCGCAGTACAAAGTCAACCATATTAAAAAGAGCAATAAAAACAATCTAAAATGTATCACATTTAAAAACAGACGCAACAATATAAAGCTACATACGAGCATACCCAGTCTAAGTCTTTCATCCCGTTTCAACCATAAACAACACAGGCCAATATACATTAACTGAAAAAGATGGTAGATAGCATCACCCCAGAAGGTGTTTGCGAAATACATGTGTTTTTAAATCGGTTTTAAAGGACTCCAGTCTCTGGCTGTTTCTGAGAGTGACTGGAAGTGCGTTCCAAATTGTTGGGCCAGCAAATGCAAAAGTGCGCTTTCCGTAAGTCTCAAGGCGTACACACGGTATCGATATTTTGCCACTATCGGATGAGCGGAGCTCTCTAGTGGGTACATAAGGCGTAATGAGTGCTTTGAGATAAGATGGCGCCAGGTCATGTAAGCAGCGGTAGCACAAAGTTGCAATTTTCTACTCTATGCGACCGCGGACCGGTAGCCAGTGCAGCTCCCTCAGAAGTGTTTTAGCATGGTCGAATTTGCCTTTGCGAAGAACAATGCGAGCCGCATTATTCTGTGCTCTTTGAATTTTATCCAGGAGCGTAGCTGGGAGACCCACCATGAGAGCATTGCAGGGTGGCAATTTTGGTAACTGTAGAGCTTGTATCGTGAAAAAGAGTGCAATAGTAGGGTCTATGGAGTAATCTCCCCAGAGAATATTTGCTTTTTTCAAAATCAAGAGGTGCATTTTTTTAGTATAACTGAATTCAGTGTTTCTATTGATCGGGGGAAGGAATTATTTTAACGTCCGTGGGAGGCATTATCTCGCCCAGTGGCATACATAAACTGAACTCACTCAAGTTGTGGCGCACCCCAGGGTAAACCTTTCCATTCAATCCCGTACTGCCACACTGATCAGCGTGAAGGAAGAGTAGTGCAGAAATTGAGGGTGTCGAAGACCCTTGGGTGGATTTAAAATTCAGGGATGCGTTTTAGAGCATACTTGAATTCAGTGTTCCTTTAAGATACATTTTAATGGGGCATTTCAGACTTTCGGTTCGAGGCGCCAAAATTATCCATAATAATGATCAAGCGTATCTCCAACTCCGCCCCAACACAACATGAACTATATTCATTCCATTTGTGGCGCCCTTGAGGTATGCCTTTTTGTCCTAGCTTAATCTCGTCCCTTAAATCCTTATAGAACCTAGAAATCCTTTGATAAATTCAAAATGCAAGAATGAATTTTAGACAAATGCCGAATTTAGTTTTGCAAAAGTCTATACTTAATTAGAGAGCAACGGAAGAAATGCTACTGAAACATGTAGGTGTCATTTTAACCTCAGAGCCATCCTGTTGGCCCCTCAACCCCTTCGGCTGCAGGGAACCTTAGATATTTTAGAACTTTTAAATTATCAACTTTGAATGCGAATTTGGGGAGGACACACCTGAATAGGGGCAGGGGATGTGTGTGTGTGGGGGGGGGGGGATCGAAAAGTCAAGACGGCTCTGCTAGACATCCATGTGTTATATTTTTGAACAATATATTACTAAATTAACTAAATAGTATAATGGCTTTGAATTTTTATTTATTATATTTTGGGGGTAAACTTCTGAAATTTAAATAATTAATGATTTTTTTTTTTTTTAATTTAAAAATAAATTCCTTTCAAAAAAGGTTTCAATCATAAAAAGTGATGCTTGCCCCATTTTACGTGGTGAAAGTAAAGGGACAAAAATCACTACTTGTAATAATTACCTTACTAAATGTTATCAAGTTTCTACTGAATCAAATAGAAAAAAAAAATGTTTTATAGGAAGCTATAAACAAGTGTTTGTATTTTCAGATATTGTAATTTTTATCAATCGTATAAGAAAGCATTAGTTATGTTAAGAGGACATAAGATGTTTACATTGACATCATATTATTATATTTATTAATGTGTGATCTATCTAATGGAAATCGTATGGAGTCTTTGGACGGCTAATTGACCCATTTCCCGTCAATCGATCGAGCTTCAGCCGAGAGACTTGTTGCCGATTACGACACATTCGCTCATATTTTAGCCCCACCCCCAACTCAAATCCCCAAAAATCAGTTTCCCTGTTTTTCAAAGGGAAAATACAATGAAATTCCCGATTAATGCGCTCAGTGAAATTCCTTTTTAAAAAAAAATATCGCACGTGCGTTTGGTGCGAAATA